ATTGCTTTTGTGCAACGTATGGTAAATGTGTCGACCGTGCTTAACGCAACGGTTCGCAAAATCGATATGGTGTCGCTTGTTTTTGCTTCCAATACCAAAGGCCGTGTCTTTGGATTATATATGCATAGTGGTGCGAGAGATTCTATTATGCACGCCATCATATTCTGGTGAAGAGAACAGTTGCCATTGGTTTGTCAGCACGATACCAAAAACACTTCTATACCACCCGAGACTCAAAACCGGTCGGAAAATCTCAAGCCTCAAGGGAAGCCGGTATGAATAAAGTGCTAGACCGTTTCTCAACGCGTTGTAATTAATTTAATAAAAGTATGTAAAAAATTAATGGACTAAAAAATGTGATAGACTGGAGGAGGAGGCCTTTACAATTATGAAAACGAATACTAACAAAAACCTATGAACTAAGTTCAAAACCAACTTACTAACTTATATTTACTTTTGTTAATTGTTCACTGTACACACAAAGATAGAAATGTATATAATAGAAAAATGATACTATTATATACATTTAACAATTTATTATACCGCTAGGACCAAGACCCGGCCTCTCAAATATAATAATCGTTATGTAAAATCCGTTTATACATTGTATTATGTCCCCAAGTCCCAACTTAAATTATGAACGAAGCCTCGTAGAACAAATTTGTATAACCTGCCCCGTCTAGATTATAATCTTGAGCGTCTTGAAGAATTAAGAAGCTCAGGTGAGCCGTGGTTTTCTGTTTAAATATTTAATTAAATGTATAACGCGTTGGGTTCTAAGCCATTTTGTGGCTAATTAATTCGTTAAACCCTTTTTAAGTCTACATATTATAAATTAGCAGATAATTGTTAATCATGTCTTTAAATTAAAAATCTTTGATTAAAAAAAAATACGACACGGGCGGGACTTGAACCGGTATGTACAGCGTGCTGCTGTTCTTACCAATTGATCGGCCAGGTGACACTTGCCATCGCCGGATTTTGTTCCATCCATTGATATATGTATATACACTTGCGTATTCAATAAAAATAAATTGATCGGATCTGTGAAACGAACACAAAAATGTGTTCGCCCCATGCCCCACGAGGGAAAAGGGGATATCACTATTTATAGATTGCAATCATGTGAAAAGTAATTTAGTTTAGAAAACGCACAGTCCACAGACTATATTTTATTATAAGGGCAAAATATTCAAACACGTCGTATCTCCATGACCGCAAAACTTTCTCATCTACGTCGGATATACTCTTTAATTAGCGCCTTATATCATCTCAGTGTGTATTTAAGTTTTCACAAACTCTTAAGACTATAGAGATTTTCTTAGAAACATCTCTGATATTTAACTATACCAATTATCATTGCTCAAGTGACCTCTACTAATTAGGATATATGGCCTAATTCGACATTCCATTGATGAATAATATTTCTGATATTTGGTTTGCGCATGCTCTAGGTATCTCGATAGAACTTGGTATTTTTTTAACGATAATATACTAAGTATTGTCTGTAGTTAACGCAAGTACACATTTAAATAAAACACGTATAACGATGTAAACGGGTAAAACCATGGCCATGATGACAAGGAGATGGAGGCTGCAAAATATTATTTCTTTTATTGCAACAATAAAATAGGATGTCTACATCTTTGTAAATTTAAGCTGCCCACAACATCGGTCGCGTCTCGTCACGCACTGTCGTTCTTGCAAGATAATCTTAAAATATAGACATATAGACATGTCGCGGACATTTTTTCAAATCATTCTTAGCGTATGCATCAGAAAACCACAGAGATGAAAAAATTTCCTTCGTTTTGATCACATTTCCCGCTGTATCTTCGCGTCTATTAGTCACAGCGCAATGTCTAGCCTATAGCCTTCCCCGATCAATGCTCTAACCAACACAAAGATAATTTTTCAATTCGAACCCGCACTTCCTGAGACTAGCGCGTTCAAACAAACAAACTCTTCAGCTTTATATATTACTATAGATTTTTATCTATCATCAAACTCATGCATGATCTACCCAACTCTGTCATATACTCTGTGCAATGTATTACTAATATTATATTCTTTGGAAAAATAATAATGTTGTTTTTATAAAAAGTATGATTTAGTTAGACGTGTAGTGATCGTATGATTTGCTTACTTGCGATTCAGTAAACGTATTTGAGAGTGCTATGAACGAAATCAGGTCGATGCATACGGATGTCTAAAAATAATAATTATTATTGCAAGCGTTCGCTGTTATCGCTCTTCCACCTTGACTAGCTTTCTGTTAAGAAATATATATTTCGACCTCGTTGTGTTAAAGTTGATTTACCTTAGCGACAATGCATCTACATTCTCGAATTTTCAGACGGTCTACTTAGTGTTAAAATTTACAACGAAATTAAAACGTTATGCTTAAAATCTAACATTTGCTTAGCTTAATTGCTTATTAGCTTTTTCGTTACATCACACAAGTTTCATTGTCTGTTGAAGATTCGTTATTCGATGTTTCCTTGTATGTATATTGTTAATGGACTTAAGACTGCCTTAATATAATTAAAAGTTTTTATATATTTTCTATACAAGACAATAAAAATATGTACTTAGACAGAAAATATGTACTGGCATACATAGAAGGTTATTGAATTGAAACCAATTCATAATACTTTTAAGTATTTGATAGACTTCGTCTAGAAAATCTGTGTGAACAGAGTGTCATAAATGTTCATCTTGATAGCAAATTTAAGTCAATATATATTACACACTAGCTGTGCCCGCGACGTCGTCCGCGTGGAATAGTCACTTGGGGTAGAATTTTTTAGTTATTTTGGCTGTTTATAATTTAAGTAAAGACGCATTTAGGGCAGCCAATCTGTGTTCTTAGTGTTACTTTGCCGCAACACTCTCACCTTACATCACTCCTACCTTAACTCCCACTCCCACTCCTATTCCCAAAAAGCTAAAGAAGAAAGTTTCATTGTTCTATCTTGAACAACCACGAATTTCCATACAAACTTTCATCCCCTTTTTCAACCCCTACCAACCCTTTTTTGGCATTAATAAGCCTATGTCCTTTCTCAGGCTCTAAAATATCTGTGTACCAAATTTTATTTAAACCAGTTCAGTAGTTTCAGAGTTAAAGCCGGACAGACAGACAGAGTTGCTTTCGCATTTATAATATTAGTATAGATTTTCTTCACAACTTCAAACAGTTTCTGAAACAGCGTCAAGGCACCTCTGAGCTTGTTAGTTTCCAAACAATTATTTTTCGCCAGATATTTAGGCGAAACTCGCGAAGTTTTAAGCCGTTTATTTTTAAAGGGGCTTTGAATTACCAATTAGAAAAGTCTGCGTTCCCATCGACCTATATTACGAAATTACAACTTCTCGCAATGTAATAACGATCTTTTTGAAGCTTTGCGCACTTATTCAGTTTTTCATTGGCCTAGAATTGAACTGTCACTGTATGCACCATTTTCAAATTGAGTTTAACTAGTGAAGTTTGAATTTATACAGATTCTCTACCTAATATACTGAGTTCTAATAAAAATTATATATAGCATTGAGATGGAATTGTTTATTCCTTATGAATCATACTGATGTTCGTATCGTACTCTTGAAGTTCTTTACTTTGAAAACTGAATTTTTTCACAGGTTGCGCACTCACGGTAAATAACTCGATTATTAATTGAAAAAAATTACGACACGGGCACGACTTGAACCGGCACCCACATCGTTCTGTGCTGTTGCTCTAAGTTTTGACACAACACAAGCGTAGCTCAATTGGTTTCCTCCTTATTTTTAGCATTTATTAGTTGTATACTTTTGGAATACATACTGAAAAAAGAATTATTGTCATCAATACATCATAATGAGATAAGAATTACATCTTTAGGAGTTTGATTATTTGTTGGATTTTTATATTATAGTTGTCAATTCATGTTTTTTTAATACTAGTTTATTTTGGGTTGTGTAGATCGTGTGATAGCGTATATTAGAATAAGGATTTTCTATTGTCAAATAAAGTATCTCTTTATAAGTTAATTATTTTTGTTGGTCACAATACATATGAGCCGCAGTTTCGCGGGATTGGTCGAAGCTTGATCTTATAATGCCTAGCCTGCCCCAAAAGATGGTTTATCTAAACTAATTATATATAGGCTATAGGATATAAATCGCACATCGCGCTGCGATTAATACGAGCGTTGTAACCTCCGGAAATCTTGAGCTAGAGAGTACATAAGAGTCTAACTGATCAGAACATCTCTTTTTGATAAGATGAGATCAATCTGATAGGAAACTATAGGACATGATGCCACACTACAGCACCATCAGCCCCGTAATTGATTAATTAAACTTGTGACGCGAATTGGTTTTAATCGATCGAGTTATTTGAGTGCTGCGTGAACCATAATTGAATTTCCTCCGTGATATGTAGGCCCGCTAAATGATTTATGGCGTTGGCGCTTTTTCGTATATTCGCTTTGTATCTTATTTTACACTATCACAACTTTTGTCCTTCACATCGAACGATTTAAACTAACGTTTGATTAAGTGGTATTATTATGTATGTTTTTTTTTAATTTGTTCCTGTAGGAGATGGCCAGTTTGGTTTTATTCTTCGGATTTCCCATGTCCACAGACAAAACGGCGCAGGTCGAAAGTGCGTCAATATTAAGTAAATCTTATACGAACTGAAACATTACACTTTCTATCAATTGAGCCATGCTTTTTAAATAAAACACCTTTAACGCTTTAAACCACGAAAATTAAACGACGGATCTCCCCGAGACCATGACAGCTGCAAAGCGTCCGAATCGTCGGGCAACACTTAAAATAATAAGTTTAACTAATACATTTTTTACAAACCATTATATTTTACTTACTCGCGTAAACTACAAACATTGTTTAATGAACATTTTCTGTCCTGCCTTGGAAAGTGTTTTTAGTTATTGTATAGTCTAACTTGTAACACTATACTTGGTAAAGAATGTGTCGTCCGTTTGTTACAGTAACGGCCCAGTGGACGGCGCGTATGGTCCGCAACACAGCCCGGTGTCGCGGTCGGACGCCTCCACAGAGGACGCGGAGCTTTCCGCTGCGCTTGCGCATCAGCACCATCTCGCTATGCAGGTATGAGAAATAATCATCTTTTATGTGATTTTCATAAGATTTATAACGTACGTGTAAGAAACATGTTAATACAACATTTTTACCTGTTAAAAACGCGACTATTATACGCCGTTTCGGACTTGAACCGGGATCCACAGGTATCCGTTCTGTTGCTTTAACCACTTGAATAGGACAGGGTAGCTCAATTGGTTAGAGCAAACAGCACCAAACGCTGTGGTAAACGTCGTGGTAGACCCGACGGTTACATTTTTTAAATCTAAAATCGGTTTTTATAGTTATTTTCCTATTTCGAATACATAATATATGAATAGGTATGTGTACTACTCGCATACAGTTTACTGAACAGTATTGATTTAAATTAATAATGCTTTATATACAGGCGGGTGAATATCCAGTTGGCGGTGGAGTGGAGGCAGAATATAGTCAGTATGTGTCGTCCCCGGCGGCACACTACAATCACATGGGACACCTCACTATGGCACCATCTCAAAAGTACCCTCACGTAAGTAAAATATCAAGATTTTCCTTAACTATCTAGAGTGTTATAGCGTAGTTTCACGTTTAATTCTTATTTATTTTATTTCTTTTCGGTATATTTTATCCATATTTGTTTAGTTTTTCTTACAAGAATAATAATAGAAATCTAAAGTTAAAAAGTATCTCGAAGGTAAAAAATATCTTCAAATAAGTTTAACTAATATATATCGCGATATAGACTGTTAAAAATATTTATTTAAACAAAAAACTCTTTATTTGGCATTCATATTACAATATTGAAAAATAATAAATATAATTACAATAAAATAATAATTAATATAAAAGTTTTAACTTTAATATGAAGAAAAGGGATGTCTTTTAACAGTTGCACCACAATTATGCTACAACACTGATTCTCAGCAAAAACCCTATTCTCTTTTATGACAATAAATGACCGCCGCCTTTGCTTAGTGGTTAAAGGGTTGTACAGCACTGCCATAAGCGCGAGAGGGTTCAAAGCCCGTATAAATATATGAATAGTTTCATTTTGTTTTTTTAGAAACCTTATCAACTTTCTTTTTAATGTGAAACGCATATAGACGTGTTTCCACCCTCTTGCTCTTGTAGTCGAAACGGTTTTTTTATAATATATTTTCTTTTATTCCAAAAACTATGTTTGATATTTATAGGTTATGGAAGCAGTGTCGGTGGGCAGCGGGTACGCCGGGGGGGTGGGGACGGGTGCGGGCGCGGGTCACTACGGAACGTACGCGCATTATGGCGCCGCGTATCCCGCGCAGCCATATCTCGTCGATCCGCAGATGCCGGCGTACATGACGCAGGTACCCGGCTCGAAGTGCCATATAAAAGTTTTATTTTATTTTATTCAGTGCTTAATTCAATTGTTTATTGTTTTCAGGAGTATGTAGAAGGCGGTGGCAGTGCGTCACCCCGTAGTGCTTCGCCGGGTGCCCTGCCATCTCAGCACAATTTACATCTGCAACAAAGGTAATTGACATTACTATATTCTTTTATTTGTATGGAAAGGTTGAAAAACTGCATTGATTCATAGACTTCAGGCTGCCTTTGACTTATGTTAGTTACATACTAACATATAAATAAATAGACTTCTTAAGTAATCAATATATATTTTAATCTTCAGATATGACTCGTCGTCCCTCGAGCAGTTGGGTCGACACTACTGTGTGACGTCACCGAGGGGTGAATACGCAGCGGACGCGTATTCGTATCAACACTACCCCACCGCTATTGACCCGCAACACCATCCCGCGCAGGCTTTTAAGGTTCTAAAACTGATGGAAATTTGTTTGAGATCCCTAATTCATTATTACACACATACAATAATTAGTATCTTGGGGTGTAAAGATAATATATATAAGTAATAATTTCAAAATAATTAATATGTTGTGAAGCAAATATAAAAATATTATTATTATATGTTAGGATGTCTCTCCTAAAATTATATTGTTTCTTTGCAGGATTCACAAAATGGCCTAAGTTTAGGAAGTACCGGCGGACAGTCCATGTATGGTGATGAAGAAGAGTTGCAAAAGCAGATGGCGAACATGGCTTTAGGTAAATATAGTTTTTTTTTAAGATAGAGGAGGTCAGAAAGCCCCCATGCTTGGCTGTCCACCTCAACCTTAAAAAAAGTTTCACTTAATGGAATGTGAAATACCATCTCAACAAGATGCACTGTCGACCCATTTTGGCTTTGAACATTCGGAAATATTAAATTTATAGACTTCAAAAAGAGCACATAAACAATCCCTTAGCTTAACCCAATAAGTGGAAGAATAAACGATCAAAAATAAATTGAAAAATTGTTTCGATTCGGGCAGGACTTGAACCGACATCGTCAGCGTTCCGTGCTGTTGCTCTATAGTGCCTTAATGAGCAATAACATGTGAAAAATATTAAAGTTTTCGAAGAATTAACGATTTTATTAGTACTAAGAATAAATTAAATTACGCATATACTATACTAGTAAAAAAAAAGGTTATGTCATTTAATTAGTTATATTCAAATCAATTTTGATTATAAAATTACAATGGAAAGATAACGATATTCAGACCTCGAATATAAAAATTAGGTTCCTAAAATTTCGTTTAACGTTATAGTTCACGGTGGTGTGGGGGTTGGCGTCGGTCGGGAGGAGGGCGGAGGCCTACAGTGGAGGGATCCCAACTTGCCCGAAGTGATCGGCTTCCTCAATTCCCCCTCGGACGTGGTCAAAGCGAATGCTGCGGCATATCTACAACATCTGACGTATATGGACGATCCCAATAAACAGAAGACCAGGAGTTTAGGTCTGTGCCTACTTGGACTTTAATATCTTTCTACTTTCCTAATTCTTCATATTATATCTGGTACTTTCCATTTGCAGGTGGAATCCCACCACTAGTGCGTCTGGTATCACACGAGAATCCCGAAGTATCGCGTAACGCGTGCGGTGCGTTACGTAACCTGTCTTACGGCAGACAAAATGATGAAAACAAACGGGCCATACGAGATGCTGGTGGTATACCGTCTCTAATGGCATTGCTCTGTAGGACTTCAGATATGGAGGTAAGCAGTGTATATTCTATCCTGGATAACAGAGAATGAATTTTAAAGCACTAAAACAAGCATTAAATTATTTTTCATTTCCTTCAGGTTAAAGAGTTGGTGACAGGCGTTATATGGAACATGTCATCTTGCGAGGATCTAAAGCAATCTATAATAGATGATGCAGCTCAAGTAATTGTGAACAAAGTTCTGATCCCGCATTCCGGCTGGCACCCAACTAACCCTGGCGACACGTATTGGTCTACGAGTAAGTTCATGAATTTTACGTTCTGGTCCTTCGAGCCTGACATCTTTATTCTAATTGTTTAAAAGCTTTTAGATTGAGATTTTATTAAAACACTTTTTATACTTTCAGTATTCCGTAACGCGTCGGGTGTGTTACGTAACGCGTCATCAGCGGGCGAATACGCACGGCGGCGACTACGTTCTTTGCCCGGGCTCGCTGAAGCGTTGCTGCATGCTGTACGCACTGCACTTAACGTAAACGCTATCGGAACGAAAATAATTGAAAACTGCGTATGCGTTCTGCGTAATCTGTCTTATAGGTAAGTTTATCTCATATATGCTAAATAAAGTTTGTATGTTAGAAGTGAAAACTGCTTCTAGAGTACCTATGCCAGACCGTCAAGTTATTCTCTCGTCCTCGTCCTAGAGACTCGTAAGCGTATGTTGGTAATATATTGCCAGCAGTGAATGTAAACTTTGATTGTAATAAAAAGTTCGTAGTTTGGCCTATGGAAAGAAGAGATAATTAAAGATACTTCTCTTGTAAACAGATGTCAAGAAATAGAAGATCCATTATACGACACGAGAGCTCCACCAACGCAATCGACAGGGCAGGCGCGGATACAAGCAAGCGCGTCTAAAGGTAATTATTAAGTGAGGAGAACAAAATATGTGAAAATGAGACAGGCATCAAATCAATTCTACTAATGTATTATTTCGAAAAAAGATACCATGTGATATCGTTTTGTAAAAGTGTGTTTCATCCTAGGAGAGAATCTAGGCTGTTTCGGTGGTAGTAAGAAGAAGAAGGAGGGTTCTTCGTCTAATTCAACCAGTCCTCTTGGTAAGAGTGATGGCGATTCGCAGCCCATTGAGACTGGAACGAACTCGCAATTGGGGTACACTGTACCAAAAGGAACAGAAATGCTCTGGTCACCGGAGGTAATAGCATCTTTTAATAATTGGAAATTATTAAAAGATGGTTTTTATTTTGTCATGCATTTTTTAATTTTTCCTGTTATACAATTTTTCAGGTGGTCCCGTTATACATGGCATTACTTCAAACGTGTTCTAACCCTGAGACTCTGGAAGCTGCAGCTGGGGCACTGCAGAATCTGGCCGCATGTTATTGGCAACCTTCTATTGATATAAGGGCTGCGGTTAGGAAAGAGAAAGGTACAATATTTTGTCCCCGACTACACTTCAAAAACTTCAATAAAATAATAACTTTGAAAGTAGTTGTTTAGAATAATTTTGTTACAAATTTAATAATTGAAATGTAGAGCCTAATTTTACTTTGACTCTAACTCTTCTACGACTAATTACTTAATTTCAGCTTAACTTAATATTAACCTTAGTTACTAACATTAACTTGTTTAATTTTCAGGTCTACCAATTTTAGTAGAACTCCTGCGCATGGAAGTGGACAGAGTTGTTTGCGCAGTGGCCACTGCTTTGCGCAACTTAGCTATAGATCAACGCAATAAGGAGCTGATTGGAAAGTATGCTATGCGTGATTTAGTACAAAAATTGCCTAGTGGTAACCAACAACACGACCAGGTAAACAACATAAAATTATTACTTTTCTGATATATCTTTAATTAGTTCCTGAGTCGTTGATTTCTTTTTTTTAATTTTGTATACATATAGACTCCAATATTAACTTATTGTAACTAAAATTAACTTAAAAATTAACAATACAAAAAAGGCAAACAATATTAACTAATATATAAATAAAGTCTATAACTACCTAGCATAAAACGGCTTAAGAATTGTCTTGCTTCTTCCCGGATCTTTTACTAGTTTACTGTGCGTGTGTTCATCTAACTCATTCAGAAGCACGGGCAATAGATAAGTTCGTTGCGCTTCCGTAAGCATTGTTAAAAGGGGGTAGAACATATCTAATCAAATAATGTAGGGGTCTTTGGTCTTTTTTGACTTTTAATTCTTGGATATGACCTATTTCTTCGCATAAATAAAAAAAGTTAAATTTGTTGAAGATATGCATTACTTTGCATTTTTCAAATAACTCATGTTTACTATTGCAATTTTTATAGACCCTCGGTGCTATCGTCTTTAATATTTTCAACAGTAAGTTGCAAAAACTATTAAGGTAGGTCTTGTAGGTCCTGCCGTAGCTGCTGAGTCTTAATAATGTGCACAAGTTAAGCATGAAATGTCCGGGTTCGAATCCTAGAAAAACAAGAAATTGTTGTGATTAGGCACCGCACGAAAGTGATCAACTGTACATCAAATTTATTAGTTAAACGGACACAGAACTGTGTCACTCACTCCCCGAAGGAACTTAAATTTAAGTTACATTCTTTAGACCTCTAAACTGTTATTATTGTTTCAGGGGACATCAGACGATACGATAGCGGCAGTATTAGCTACACTCAACGAAGTGATAAAGAAAAGTGCAGAGTTTTCTCGCTCGCTGTTAGAAGCTGGAGGCGTAGAGCGACTGTTAAACTTGACCAAGCAGCGTCACCGTCATACACCGAGGGTGCTCAAATTTGCAGGTATATATTACAATTATCTAGCTGATCCTTCGAGCTGGATACAAAACTTACTGTATTTATTTAAAAGACTGCTTTTGGAATGGTTTTATTTAAAATATTGTCCTTTATAGGTCAAGTGCTAATGACGATGTGGTCACACGCGGAACTACGCGAAGTATACCGTAAGCACGGCTGGCGTGAAGCCGACTTTCTTACGCCAGCGCGCGCCGCTCAGCCGACGAGAAATTCCAGTACTAGTGGTAATTAAAGATTTATTTATTCTTCAAGAAGAACTTAATTTTTAATTTCATTCATACTAAACCTCTACTTTCACACTAACGAAATTCTTATACCAATTGCACCCATGAATCATACAAACAATATTTAAATCTCGTACTATACAAATGTTATGTAAATAACTGTATTGTGTTCGTGACCTTGCTATTGTGTACAAATGTCGTAACTTCCTACTCACCCGTGCCACGTGGATCTTACTGTTTATTTGTTTAATTAAATTTGTGTTTAACAAACACCAGTCTTTGTTTACGCAATTCGGCGATGCTTTTAAATGCGAAGATTTGAAGCATAATTGATTTCGCGAATTGAGGAAAGATTAATTTTAACAGAAAAAAAGGGTTTTATAATTAAGACGTACAGTATAAGAATCAATCGTTTGAAAACTTATAGATAAGAAATATATTTAAATTGAAAAATATATATATATATGAGACAGGCGAAACACTAGTTAAACTGGTTAGAGTAGCAGCATGGATAGCTGAGGATGCAGGTTCAAGCTCCACCCGCGTCGTCAATTTGTAAATAAAAGTAAAATAAAATTGTAGATAAACACAATTAACTTCGAAATGCAAAACATACATTAGCCTATATTTAAAGTACAACCCGGCGCTTTAGACTATCTTTGCAGCAGCCGTAGTCATATAAGGGTTCGGAACAAAAGATGGAGGAGGATTTGCTGTTTAAACCTGAACGTAATACATAATATCTGATACAAATTAAAAATTTTGAAAGTCCGTCGTGTATATAGAAAAGTAAAGCTTATTGTGCAAAGCGTAAGATCCACAATGGCGTGTATATAGCTCATCCTTCGGGGGGTTTAGGTCAAGGCACACCTTCATCTGGCACCACGGGCGCTCCGCATTCGCCTAGCAACGCCAATAGCACTCTTAGCAGACCCATGGCTTCCACTGGTGGGACACGCTACGAGGACCGCACTATACGTAGACATCGAGAGGTATGTTTAGAATAACTATTGGTTAAACATTCAAAATATTCTTGTAGGTCTTTGTAATAAGAGTCCTTACTGAATGATCTTAGAATCTCAAATCCTTTATTGCTAATGGGGAGCATGGGGCAAGTATGTTATTGTGTCTGTTTCTCTGATACACATGTTTAAGTCCAAAATCAGTTGATTGTCAAATTTGTAAATAAAATTACTCTTATGAGGTTAAAGGCAGAAACGCAAGATCTTTGAGGTAATAAAGTTTTCTTTTTTTAGTACTTCACATGCATATGTTGTAAATACACAAAATGTTTTACTAACCGCATTTATTGTTTGCCACCTCTCAGATAGGACTATTCCAATTGACAAAAATTCTGAGAAATAGGTTTTAGCTCGACAAAGTGAAGGTATACCTTCTATACCTACTTATTCAGTTTAAGTTTTTATTCAATAATTTCATATTTGACAGTCGCTTAGCAATATTATTATAGGCCCTATGTAGGCTATGCATACTCGTATTGTTTGATTTCAAAGCTACCTAAACACGTATAATCAGTTATTTTGCATTTATTTTTGTTAACTTCCAGAACGATGACATGCCGACCATGGAAGCGAACAACTATTCAGACGGACTGGGTATGGGGAACCCGAACGGCCGGCCTATGAACCTGCAGGGAGTCCAAGCTCAAATGCCACCACCGAGCACTCGTTGAGTTACCGCTTAAAATTCTATTAATTTACACGACCTTGGAATATTCGCGCAAACGATTTATAATTTACGATCACAGTTTCGAAGTGTGACTCATGAAGCGACATATTTTGAGAAAATTTTGAATGGTCCAATTTTTTATATACGACTGTCAAAATTTTCTATATCTATAAGTCAATGTATTAATTATTATGGGTTAACGGCGCGATATTGGTGAAGTCGTACTGTGAACCAAGGCTTTCTTTACTCTCAACTGAGATGCGGTTATTTTACAAATTTCGGTGGGTAGTCGAAGAATCATGTAAAACTTTTGATATCTCGTAAATTAGTACGGACTAGGATTGTTACGATAATGCATTTATATTCGCGATTTAATACGTGTTAAAATAAGGTATATGATATAATCATTCATTAATGAATTACCATGTTTACAGTGCAAATATTTAATGACGTTTTTATATGAATTTTATTTGAGGTAACCGTAAGGGAACTGTACAGGGCAGTTCTTTGATATTCTTTTAGTGATTTGTAACGATCATGTCAATTCCCCTTGTATATATTCGTGCCATTATTGATATTGATAAAGGGGGTTTATAGGTGTTGTGTATCTAATTATTCTAATCAAACAAACACATATTACATATATACTAATAATTCACTGAACGACATAAAATTGCCATTGTTTAGAATATGTTAACATTCTGTTCAATCTACATTTATATGGCAGCGAGACGTCATTTTATAATTCAAACACGGTTTGAGTACGAGAAGCGGTTTTTGAAAGTATAACACGATAGTAATAGCGTTACTGTAAAATTCGATAACTTAAGTAATTCGATTGCAGTCTTGTGATTCTAAATAATACATTTGGTAACGTTTTTTATCCATTCCATGCCCCTTAAGGTAATTAAGTCTCTCTTCTGTTCTAAGTCTGTATCTTGTTATAGGGTTATCCGTCGTTACACATTTAAGAATGTAAATTTCAGCTTTTTAACAAACATTACGTTATATAGGTTTCAGTGAAGCCAAGATTTTGGCAAAAAAATGTATGAAGAATCAATCACATGTTTAATTTTGATAATTAACGATTTATTTGTTCGTTGTAAACTTTTACCCTGCATATTATTTCTTAAGTATCAAAAAAATATTAAAATTGATTTATAGATATTTTGTAAGATATGTTTGTTAAGCAAGTGAAGATTTGATTTCCCTCCGTCTTTTAATTAGATATAAGCTATTTATTTATTGTAATCAAATTATGTTTTATTACACTTTGGGTTATCTTTTGTGATTATCATGGCCAAGTTGATGTAAGATTCAAGGCGTATCCATGATTTAGTGAACCTGTTAATAAGATCTACTAACGAAATTAATGATTCTTTTAGTATAAGCATTATAGCAGTCGGTTGTACGCGATTATATGTTCACGCATGAAGCCGATGTATGCACAAGACAGCATTTAAGGATCGCGGCGCTTTGACTGGGCTGTTACAAAACTACCCTCATTCAGTGCATAATCATAATTTAAGGAACTAAGTTTTGTATAATATTTTTATCGGATCATAAATACAAAATGTACAACAGTGCTTGCCAGGGCGACGTCGCTTCTATGAAGCGTTTATTAGTTCCACATGCACTAAACTACCCTCATACTTAAAAAGGCGGTAGTGTTTTGTTTCAGTACTTGTCGACTGGTCCAACCGAGAAAAATATGAGACACCAGTTTTATATTAATGTTTAATAGCGTGTGTTTTATTTTCGTAGTGTTATAGAATATTTAATCATTTATTTTTCACATGATTTCCATTTGTGAGGGTTTTAGATAAATGTAGACCGTTAGTGTATTTTTTTCTATCTATATTATAATGTAACGTGAATTTACCACAGATGTAAGTATAGGTTATGTTGTCCCCTCCTGTAAATTTGTATTGTTGTCTCTGTTCGGGTTGCTGTGGCGATAAACTTTGACTTCATGAGTCAATATTGAGGAATACATAAGATAAAAAAAGGATTTAGCATATGTCACATGCATTTCAGATCTCTTATATAATGTATTGTCGACTCGGCAGCTCGCCCAAGGTACTGTGGGTATGTGTAACTTAGAGTTACATGACACTCTTTTGATTCGTCTATGGTATGTGATAACCATCGATTATAGAGTTGTTGCAACAGGAATACTCGATTATTTATATTTTATTTAAAAAAAAAGTATGAAAATTATTTTTATTTAACAAATTTGTATTCTTCGTTTGTCGTTGCGACAATGTAGTTATAATAACATAGTTTTGTCTTATGTCATGTTGTATGTAGTGTAATAGAAAATATTCTTCGTACATAAAGAAATTATATTATATCGTCACAGATAATTAAAGAAGGATTTTGTATAATTTTATTTTTTTTATTTACCTATGATTTTTCGATGTGTTTTTCCTTTATTTTTCGTTATATTTTCACAATCGTTATCAAAACTGGAGGCCTACTTTTTCGTGTATATGTTTTTGATTCAGTTAAAATTGATACAACTTAAAGGATTTGGGTGCAAGACTCTGTAAATGTAAGACTTAAACGTTTTATAGCTACACATGATTTTACGAGTAATTAGCGATTTTGTTTTCTAGCTAAATATTTAAAAGACTTCCTTAGAAGAATCTTTTCTATAGTATAATTAATGATGTAGGCGCAATTTGAATGATTATTCAGCGGCAAAGTGCATGCAAAAGTTATCTATTTTTTGCGGTTTTCGTGGAAACGGTTCATGTTTGTCCATAGCGAGAGTCGAGTTCATTGGGAGTTTTGTACGAAATTTTCCTAACCTTTCCGTCTTTATAACGATAGTCTGAATCTCTATCAAGTAGTTATAGAATGTTATCATTAATTATTGTGAAAAAAAAACGAATTAATTGTTACCGCAAAACACGCGGCCGAAGCGCGGCTACACTCAGTTCCAAAATCTGGTTTCTCAGTGTATCCTCATTTCGGCTGTGCAGCAAACATGTCGAAACTCCTATACCACCTTACTATGGACACAATCCTATGACACGTTAACAATTGAGATGAATTTAAAACATGTATTAGTCGAATACTTAAGAAGTCTTTGTGTAATGCTCACTTTTTATATCTACCTGTCAGTAGTGTCAGTTATTGAATTTATAGGTGTAATAGACGCATATGAAGTTGTATTTAATATATAAGGCATATTAGTGCGTGCACGGTTTTGGTAATTATACATTTTGTACTAACCTACTATTTTGGACACAGTGGTGGGACGTATGTTTGCAATAAACAACAGTATTATTCCAGTAATCCTCATGTACCAACGTTGCTAATACACTTAACTACGTTTAAATAGATGTGGCTTTTATTTGTAATCTCCTAGACGAAATATTACGAGGTTTAAAATTAAATATATATTACTTAGAAAAATTTAATTCAAAACTTGAGCAATCGACAATTTCGAAACTTATAGAACATGAAAAACAAGCGTCTATATCTCCAATAAGATGATTAAAAAATACAGTAAAATAATTCAGATAAAAAGTTATAATCTATACTTAATATTATAAATGCGAAAGCAACTCTGTCTGTCTGTCTGGCTTTAACTCCGAAACTACTGAACTGATTTAAAATTAATGAATTTTGGTACACAGATATTTTAGAGCTTGAGAAAGGACATGGGCTACTTTTTAATGTCAAAAAGAGGATGAAAGTTTGAATGGAAATTTGTGGTTTTTGAAGCTAAAACAATGGAACTTTCTTCTTTGGCTTTTTGGGAATAGGAGAGGAAGTTAGAGTAGGAGTGATGTGAGGTGAGAGTGTTGCGGCAAAGTAGCACCTAAAACATAGATTGGCTGCGATAAATGCACAATTACATAAATTAATAAACAGCCTAGTTAATTAAAAATTCTACCCCAAGTCACTATTCCACGACTAGGAAGTCGCGGGCACAGCTAGTAATCTTATAATGAAAAATATCAATTGTTAAATAACGATTTTTTTAAGTTTTATAACACGAAAACTAGCTGTTGTGAGGTAGGCTTTTTTTGCATTTTGCTTAAAGCAGCCTTATGAGACTGTGCACCCGGACTCGGTTGATCCACAAAAGAGCTACCTCCCTGCTTTTCTTGACGTAGAAACATTTAAAAATAATGAACTAATTACAGCCTAGTACGACTATAACGACATATTATTTATCTAAATGTTCTTTTTCTCCTGTCAGCGCGTCGAGAATATCGTAAAAAGAATTTCTGCATTATTTTATGAGTTTTTCTCTGAACCAACAAAATGGGAATAAAAGATTTTAAAATCACAATATAATTATGAAATTATTTATAACATACTATAATATATATTATGTTTAACAAATTTTACCAACGTTATTTACAGCGATATTTCAGACACATTATGTCCTTATAATTTTAATTCACATTAGTGTCACTTCATTCAGCTGCATGGTAACCAAATTACTAACGCATCCAGTGCCATGGCGCTTTGGTCGTCAATGGGATAATTCTTGTAAATGTCAATAAGCGTCATCGACCCAAGAAGTACCGAAAGTGGCTAAACGTAAAATGTGGTTTATTGCATTTCAAATCCTTTGATATTCTTAGAAGAATTAGGGGCGGAGTTCCCGGCGTAAGCTTGCTAAGCGATTCCCTTCGCAAAGTGGTAAAAGACTTATTTGTTCGACTGTACGTACTCTTCTTATCACTTATGTAACAGAAGTATGATATAAGACAGTTTTCTTGTCTACTAGAAATAGTAAAATAATGAGTGAAGAGAATAAGAGACCAGACCATAACGTAGACCAGTTATTACTTATATTTAATACTAGCGACTTCGTCCGCATAGAATAGTTATTTTGGGCGTTAAAATTTGTTTTTGCGAACTTCCTCCTTATTACAGCAGTTACCCAAGACATTCGTATCCCGTCGTACGCGTCCCGTCGTTCGGGTCGTTCTTGCAAGTTAATCTTAAAACATAGACATATAGCGTCGCGGACTTTTTTTTAGATCATTTAAAGAGGAATGATCCTTCTATACATATTCTTTTAGTTTCTTGAACCGTTTGCGTAACGTACGCATCGGAAAGCCACAGAGATGAAAAATTTGCCCCCTTTTGTTCACATTTCCCGCTGTACCTTAGTTTCTATTAGTCATAGCGCGATATATATAGTGTTTTATAGCCTTCCTCGATAAATGCTGTAACTAACACAAAAAATTTTGAATTCGAACCCGTATTTCCTGAGATTAGCGTGGCCAAACAAACAAACTTTTCAGCTTTATATATTAGTATAGATAGATTGTCACAATTTGTGTATACATGATATTTTGTATGTATGGAATAATTAATATATTTTTTTGAGCACTGAGGGTAGATACGATTATTATAAAATCCTAATCCTACCCTACATCATTGCTCACCCAATACTCGAGGTTCGTTTTTCTATATGTGTTCCCCCTTGCGTCACCCCCCTGTAAGTGTTTATATAGCCGATCGCGGACCAATGCGGCCACTCTTTACTGTTTGGCTTTACTGCCGTGTCAGACGCATTCACGTCAGTGAACACATTGTGAATCCTCCAGCTACGCAGGATATCAATATCAAGGTTCGGTAAGTTCTTTACATACAAATACTTTTTCTTTTAACGTGACTGAGATTGTTGTCCATATCGATTAGCTCATGCATACAGGGATTTAATTTTCTAGAATATATATTTCCACTTCAAACTTTGTTCTCTTAAAAGGTATCATCGGTATTGGAACCAGCGCATATATTACTGATTACAACTGCTATCGAACGATATAGGCAAGTACCATAATAATAAATTTTATAATCGAACAATCATTCGATTAAAAACATTCGATTATGGTACTACCAACCTCTTATTGTCAATTGTCAACGAAATTAGACAAAACATACATGATAAGAACATGTTGTGTACGGTTTTTTAACAAAGATTTTGAATTTGTTTTGTATTTTGGATTAACTGTTTTCTTCAATTATCGTTTTTATTAAAATAAATGTCTCAAATTGCCACATTTATAAGGGTCGAGTGTATCTCTAACAACTTTCTCACACTAGCAAGATCATAAGACTTAATACTTGATTGATTTTTAAAATTAAACTGCATTGTATTTTCTTATTGGAGATTTTGTCAAGATGTATTGGACCTTGCACACCGAAGGCGGTCCCAGAAGGGTTAATCATGCTGCAGTATGTGTTGGAGACAAAATATACTCCTTTGGCGGCTATTGTTCTGTGGAAGACTATCGCGTCTTTGAGCCAATTTCTGTTCATGTACTCGATATAACAGTATTCAAATGGTCCCCTGTTGAATATAAAAACGCATCTGATGCCCCATTTCAAAGATACGGACATTCATGTGTTGGTTATGGCGACAAGGTAAGATCCTTGAACTTATAAAATAAAATTATTTTACTTATTTGAGAACGATTATTTCTGATAATTTTGTCTGTCCGAAAGTGTCTCCCCGTGACCACTGCTACTGCAAAGCATCTGAAACGTCGGGCCGAAGTTAAAAATAATTTTCAAATAGGTTTAACTAATATATCGCGTTTTAAGCCGTTAGTGTTTTATTTAAATGTCCGAAAGAACTATCTATATATTATAGGAATAGTTCTCATTATAACTAGTATAACTATAAGTATATAGTTATACTGTATTTACTACAGACATTAATAACAAGTTAAAGATCTCTGAATTTTAAATTATTAATTGGTGTTAAATACAATGTGTATGATGATTCTTACTCAAATTCTAGACTCTAATAAACATTATTACTTGGGAAGGTAGACCTCTGCTATTAACATATTACAAAAAATTTCAGATTTATATGTGGGGTGGACGGAACGATACAATCGCATGTTATACAGTCTTCTGCTTCGACACAAAAACTTTAGAGTGGAGTAATCCAACGGTCACTGGAGTAATGCCAAATGGAAAAGATGGACACTCCGCCTGTATCATCGGAAATAAGATGTACATATTTGGAGGCTTTGATTATCTCACAGATCAATACACAAATAATATGCACTACTTGAACCTAGATACCATGGATTGGAGTTATGTGCATGCTAAAGGAACACCTCCATTGGGCCGTGATTTTCATACAGCATTGGCATATGGTGATCGAATGTACATCTTTGGTGGTCGAGCTGACTTTAGTAGACCACATATCATAGAAAATGAGATCTACTGTGATAATGTTTACTATTTCAATACTACAACAGAAACCTGGGTGATGTTGAACACTAGTGGAATATCACCTGATGGAAGGCGAAGCCATTCTGGATGTAAGTTGTTTAATAATAATTTCTATACATATAAAGATTTTGGTTGTGCAGTAAAAATAAGAGATTTTTAAGGTGACAAGAATTACATTTGTTATTTAATGAGCCAGTTGCACGTAATATTTATTTAAATTGATCTATCTCTCAAATACATTGTGTAATTCATGGCCATAATTCAGCATATAATTTTTTTTCGGGCTTGATGGCCCACGTAAGCTAGAAGAGGTTATATGTTTCGCCATCACAAGTTGACGGCAGCATCGGATGGATGTTGTTAGCTCCTTGATAAAATGTTTGTCATAATTCTTCGAGCATATGGTTTTCGAGTTTTGATAACTTTTTATTCAATGTTTAACCAAGTAAAGTTTTATTATATTATTTTATTTATTTGAATTAATGAAATTGTTTTATTTAAACAACTTTATAAAATTTATGTTTTTCTACTTAATGTATGGAATTTCCAGTTTAATAATGTTTTAGGGATATACAATGATTTCATGTACATTTTTGGTGGATACAATGAAAAAACGAAGGTTCATTACAATGATGTGTACAGATTTTCATTGAAAAGAAATTATTGGGAGCCAGTGAAAATTGGTGGAACTCCCCCAAGTAAGAGAAGGAGGCAGGTCTGCATATTGAAAGAGGACAAAGTGTACCTTTTTGGAGGAACTAGGTCTGTTTCATTTTGAGTTCTTCATAACCCTCTATCATGTTAAAAGAAGATACCAACGTAAAAATATAGTTCTTAAGACTGACACTAAATAAAACTGAACTATATCCATGAATAGCCTTAACTTAATACAAGGACAAACATTTAAACATTTCTAATTGTAAAAATCGATTTGTAAATTTCAAGAATTTACAAGTAAGGAGTCCTAAGGACTCGATAGCTCAATCTTTTAGAATTGTGGAGGGTTGTAGATGCTGATTTTTAATGGATATAGTGCATATTAAAACAACTAATATAATACTTACATTAGTTTTTCATAACCTGATCCAGGAGGTCCAAGTCAGTACTATAATAATGATTTTATTTTGGCATTTTCAGTCCAGGGAAACATCCTCTAAACCCAGATGACAGCAGTGATGATGATGATGAGAAACTACTTGATAACAATGATCTCCATATATTAGACTATAATCCCACTCTCAAAGTATTGTGTATCAACTATGTCTTAGAAAATAACCTGGATATATCTTTGCTGCCAAAGGATGTACTGTAAGTATAGTCTTAGTTAGGTCTTATTCTGCTTATTTTATTTATATGAAGCAATGAAATTATCTAGCAAGTTTATACAACACCGACATATTGAGAACAGACTAATTTCTAATTCTATATTTTTCTGTCATAGTCGACCGTCAGAATATTGAGATATACAAAACTCGATTAATTGTTTTAATTCTGTTGGTATCATAAGTCAATGGTCAAATTAACTTAAACGCTTTACTTAAACAATGCATACATCTTATAAACTAATAAGTTTATAAGACATATTAAAAAAAAGCCGGACTGAGTTTCTTTGGTGTTCTTCTTAGTTATGTTGTTCTGTTGAACGCTGTAGAATCACGACGGTCAGACAGACAAACAAAAACAATTTTGACGAATCTAAATATTTTTTTTTAATTTAAAAAAAAATAAAGTTTATTTTATTTTTTACATAAGTAATTTATAAAATAATTAAATAATGTTAGAACAAAGAAGCCTCTTTAAAAAGAAGAAATACAGACTCCTCAGTTCTGGACAGTTTTTGACCATTCTGGACCAGCAAATGTTTCCAACATGGTACCAACGGTCGTCTTTGTTTTGCCTGTTTTCTTTTTGGGCCTGTCAATGTCACGTCAGAGACTTCCAGCACTACACGCAGCAGTTCTCTGACGTGACATTGTAGGGTAGTTATGTATAGATTTTTTGATTACATCTTCATCATCTAAATCGTACTTACTCAACATTGGCAAACTATATACATCAATATAATAACAAAAATTATAATTTCAAAAGTCCATCTATTGTCTAAGCGTCCTTGACTTTTTAGTGAATAATATTTCAAGATTCTTGTTTCTACCTAGTTTGAATTGAAAAGGGGTTTTGGTTTGGTCTAACCAATATATGGTTTCCTTAGCGTATCGTAGTCAGCAAACACATTTTATTGTTAATTTCCAATATTTTCTTTACAGTTTTGTAAGTTTAAAAAAAAAAAGTTCTCAATTCGATTCGTATATGCTTCCTTTGTGTTCGCCCGTAACTTACTCATTTAAAAACCAATCTTGATGATTCCTTTTTTGGAAAGTAGATATTTTCAATGTGGACACATTATGAATGGGACCGTCTTGAAAATTATTAGTGTTTGGTTATTAGGGTGAACAGCCAAGATACATGCAACTGTTACAAAATTATTGTGACGACTAGTACGTTTGTAACTTTTTCAATCCGTACTTCAAAGCAGTGCAATTTTATAAAGGGTTTGAGTAGATCTGGTGATTTAACAGTGAGACGGTGAAGCTAGCGATATACAGCTACCTTAAAATTTTCAGCTTACCCAATCAAAGTTATTGCTTTATATATTTATATATCTAGTAATTTCTCAGGTGATGAAAATTTATTGTCTTCTCTTTTGGCACTTCTAGTTTCAGGGCTATGTTTTATTGAATGTATATTATAAAATAATGATATTTGTTCACAGCATCGACATCAGGATAATGACACAACCGAATCGAATTAGCAGACCCATCAATCAGACCGGATAAAGAACTACAAGTTAGAACCAGTGATCTAAACTTAGTTTGGAGATTATTTACAGTCTGCGCTACGAAAGACTTTCTATTTAGTGATGTTGCCATTAATAGTAATATTATCTACCCCTTACTTGGGGGGAAGTAAATAAAAAACCTTTATTTATCGTTATTTCGCAGTCTCTTGTCCGTTCTAAAAAAGTCATATAAAGTTCTTCTTAGGTAATTTCTTTCGTGGCGCGGTTTCTATGCCTCAAGTTACCTTTAAGGGATCATAGGGAAATTTAGAATAGTTTTATGTGATATTATTTTATTTGTTAGTAAACTTTGAAAATCTCATTATCGATCGCCAAGTCTTTTCACAAATCATGTGCTTATGTGTAAGGTTCTTATGGGTGTTAGAAATATTTGTTACTTCTAAGTAACGTAACGTATGTCTATATAATTGCTATAGTTGTACATTTAATGTCCTGTTGTATATACCCATTTTCAGTCTCTAAACATCTAAGTACTGATTTTCAGAGCTCGTTCTTATATTTCCTTAAGATGCCAATAAAAAGGATTTTATTTTTTTTGTTGGTTTAAACAAGTATGTTTTCTATACCTCATTGGTAATGTTTCACTAATAACATTTAAATGAAGATAGTATTTTTAATGATCTACTGGTCACCCAGTCTTGCATAACACAAGATAAAGAGGACCTGAATCTTAAATAGATTTATATAATTAAGATACAAAAAAATCCTTACAATATTAATCGCAAAATTTTCTTGTCTTCCAGTCTCCACCAATTTCATTGCTTCCGATATTTATGAAACTACCACAGTAACCCACATTCAGAACTTATTCATGTACAAAATATCCATTTATATATCCATAGGTAGTACACATTGAAATAAAACCCTCTTAACGGTTTAAAACGCAAAAATATATACGCCCGGTGCCCACAGCAGCTGTTAAACGTGGAGTTACAGTTAAAATAATGTTTTAAACCGTTAAAAGCTATTCAATGTATTCAGGAAATTTTCAATAAATGTCGTCGATCGATGTTTTTTCAGCATTGTATGTAAAAAGTATCAGTTATAATGTAAAAATGTCGACCTAGTCAGTAAAAACATATGTCATAAAAATTGTATGTTCTATGTATGCAAGCGGCTTTAGTTCTTAAATCGTTAATGTACTTATTTATTGGTGTGTAAATAAATAAATTAAATCATTTTTTTTCATTGCGATCAATGGAAGAAAGAATTTCTTCTCATTATTACTTTGAAGATATCTTTTCTATATCCTTTCATTGCCTTGCAAACACGACTTCAGACCTGGCTTTAAAATCCGATAAATAGTTTTGGCTCCGCCGAGGCGCCGAAATATGAAGACTTAATACCAGTAAATATGTTCGATCCGCCCCATGCCCCACAAAACAGGCTTTTACACATCTTATATATTACCTTATAAAATAGTTGAAATCTTTTTTTGCTTTTTAATGACGAAGCGTGTAGTATTATGTCTGGGTAAAATAAGAACACGTTTAACGGTTTAAAACGAGAAGTGTATAGTTACCTTATTTACAATTTATTTTAACTATAATTCGACGTTTCGGACATTTAATTATATAATACAACTCACGTTTCAAACCGTTAAAAGTGTTTTATTTAAATCTGTACTAGTCGCGTCAACTACAGACAATACTAAACTATAAGAAGATCTATGTCTATAAAATGAAGTAATGCCCTGGCCACGACGATCTGCGATGCGAAGAGCGAAGCGATAACCCCGCGTTTTTCTTTCTATACCTGATTATATGCTATTGTTTCGTTCGCTGTTTATATTGCTGGTCTCCGGTGTGTGTGACTTGATCAATACATTACTATTTGTTATCCGTTATAATAATATAAAGCCTAAGAGTTTGTTTGTTTAAGCGCTAATCTCAGGTCTGTTTCGAATAAAAGAAATATTTTTGTATTGGCAAGAGCATTTGTCGAGGAATGCTAGGCTATAAAACAGGGCTTCCTCAAAGCACTGTAGAGGGCCGGCGGTGTGGTTAGTGGTTCTGGTCGGCTATACGATTTACCACACTCCCTATATCACTATTGCCCGACGTGGGCGTGCATAAGGCATTCACATCATCAGTAAAAACAAAACAAAGGCGAAAAACATCCCGTCGCGATCAATAGAAGCGAAGAAATTGTCGGAAACGTGGAAAACATGGGGAATATTATTTATCTTTCCGGGTTTATGTATGAAAGAATGATTTTTCTTTAAATGATCTATAGGAATGTCGTCGACAGCCGACAGTATATGACTATCTTTTAGGATTGACTTGCAAGAACGACGATACTCGACCGACGACGATAACAGGTATAATTTATAAAGAATAGGAGGTAGTTTGCAAAAAGAAATTTTGATGTCCGAAATAACTATCCTACGCGGATGAAGTCACGTATGATATCGACACAGTGCGTAATTCATTTGTTGCAGTCGCCAGACGCGTCACCGGTCGCAACGGCGAGTGTAATTAATTTAACGCTTAACCACTCCCCGTTAGCGACCATAATTCATTGTAGGAAAGGCTAAGCAATTTAAGCGCACTAAGACACTAATGTAATCCCGGTATTTCACGTGGAAATAGCTTTGCATTTCTTTTTTAACCCAGTTTCCATTTGTGTTTTGACGGACTGAGACATTTTGAAATGTATTTTATAATTATTTTACATAATTGCTTTGCGTAATTATAAATTTAATGAATTATGAGTTGATGAAATGGAATTATAACAAACAAGAAATCTAAATTTAAATAATGAGTGTTAAATACTGTCTGTAGTTTACGCGAGTAGTACACATTTAAATAAAACACTTTAACGGTTTAAAACGCGATATATTAGTAAAACGTCGCCAGTTAAAAATCATTTTCAAATAAGTTAACTAATATATTGCGTTTTAAACCGTTAAAGTGTTTTATTTAAATGTGTACTACTCGCGTAAACTATATACATGTTCCATTATCGTAAACCAGATACAATATTTAATAGAGTTATAATTTTACCTTTGAAAAGTATTTGTCTTAGAAGTGAAACTAAACTACATTTTCCGTAAATCGAAGGCGGTAGCATTCTGACTACAATGAAGTGGTGACATTAAAGAAAATCGCGTAAAATAAAGTTACAAGTTCTGGTTCCAGGTAAACCAGGGTTGTGTCGTTGAAGTCCTTGTACTTTGTAATAATTTAAAAAGTATGTAAGTATATATTGCATAAGCACATATCTTGTACATACTTATAATTAAAAAACATAGAAGTTGCAGACAGTTTGCGTCAGCTGCAACGTTGCTGTTCGTGTGTTAGACGGCGCACAAACTATACATTTGATTTTCATTGAAAGCCAGTAATAAACTAAGTTAAACATAACTTTTATCTTCTTATGGTGTATGAACAAACGCTTACATATTTGTAATTATTTTGGTAAACATTATATACCTGTGAATAGAAAGTTAATTAAGAAAACTTTTTAACAACTAAAAGATTCAAAAAATCGACTAAAACGAAATCGCGCACAAATAACAGAGAATAGCTAGGAAATGTATTAAATCCGAAATTGTAGTTATGTGTAAAAGAGGTTATTTTTAAACATGTTACATCCCTGTTTAAGTTAAGTACGAGGAAGCATAACAATCACAAGACAAAGTAACGCAGTCACCACAAACAACTTTACGAGGTCCTGGAAAAAATTAAGTTTTACATTGCCTTTACGATGTTTTCATAGTTGCAGATGATCATAATAAGTAAGAAAATATATTTGTTAAACATTCCATAATAATTCTGGTTATAGATAAGTTAATTGACAAAACTTTGAAGGCAAACGAAAGTTAAAAATAACAAAACCAATACTATACCTTAGATTTTATACGTAGGTTTATAATTCCGAGTATTGTAGTGTAGTATAATATTATCTGTAGTTTTGGTGACTTATGACACGCTTAATAGATTCCCGCCAACATTGGCTTATGGCCTGTACTTTTTTAAATATACTCATTAAAATATATTATATATTTACAATAAACAATATCTCCTAGCTATAATAAAGCATTAAAATAAACATGGGTCTTAAATTTAATTAATATTTCTTTTGATAACGTAACAATTTATTTATTTGAGTGTTTAGATGAAATGATGTTCAAGCCAACCTGTGTTTTTACATAGGGCAGACACATATCTTAATTATTCGATTATTGAAACAGACTCAAAAATGTATCTGTATCTAGTAGAGAAAACGAGAAACTGTAAGAATTAAGAGTTTTTGACTGACTCATTGGTGCTATGTGGCACTGTATGGCTAAAAATCAACGGGTCATGGATTCGATCCCCAACGGGACCAAAATGTGAAAATTTTCTGAAACATGTTGGACCGCGTTTGGAAATTTGGATATTACAAGAGAAGTGAGAACATCGAAATTCCGTAAAGAAGCCGTGAAATTCAGTCAAATTACGGTTTCAGTCTGTGGATTTCCGAACATCAGAACCCAAAGTAGGTCGGTAGACAGTGTATCTCGTTCCTATGTTATATGTTGTCTACCCTCTATCATAAAAAATAAAAGTATTAAGTAATAGAGGAAAAATGCAAGCTATGTAACGACATTGTTGAAACTTCACCTTTCTTAAATAAAAGCCAGTCGCAAGCTACGAAGAAAATCTTTAAAAGGTTTCTATGCATAAAATAAGCTGGGTCCGGTAGCGAGTTAAAAACAGCCACAAAGTTGCCGTTGAAATTGTCCATTCTCGTCGTAAAGGCATCGACAAGTTCTCGAGGTGATAATAGTGACTACAATAATGCTTTAAGATTTTTCGAATAAAATAATGGTAAAAGTACATTAAGTGTGGAATACAATACATAGCCTCTGTAAAGTTTAAATAAAACACTTTAACGGTTTAAAACGCGATAAATATATCCTAATAGACCTATCGGATGCTTTGCAGCAGCCGTGGTCACGGGGAGACCGAAAGTTAAAAATCATTTTTTAAA